TGGATGGATGGATGGATGGATGGATGGATGGATGGATGGATGGATGGATTTACTCTTCATAAAAATCTGTTCCAAATTGTGTCAAAATCAGACTTCAGGCTGTACATCAAATTTTAAATTGTGCTGATAGATAAATAAGTTACAGAACTTTTTTTAATGTTCATCATGTTTGAAGCTGAGAGGAGCAGCGAGCGGATTCTAACTGGTGGCATTAATCGTATTAATTGTCAAGTGCCAAAAATTAATCGATTAATGCTTTTCTGACGATTAATCACACACGATACGATTATGCCCAACCCTAGGACCGGGTCAGGACCAGGACCAGGACCAGGACCAGAACCAGGTCAAGACCAGGCCAAGCCAGGACCAGGTCAGGATCAGAACACCATCTGTCTGTAAGTTTCAGAACCAGAACCTGGTGGGACGGGCTGGGTGTGGGAATCATGTGACAGCCTGGTTCTGTTGGACCCGAACCCAACAAACATCATGATGAGCTGCGGTTCGTTAGCAGGTTCTGTTAGCGGCCTGTGGCTCCATCCGAACAGAACCGGGCTGACCGAGTGGTCCAGTCTGAACCCGGTCCAACAGCTTAATGCCTGTTAGCACTAAGCTAACGTTAGCCTGGATGGCTAACCGGACCGCAACCCGACCCAGTAAAGACCAACTGTGGTACGGAACCAGAAGTAACGAGCTCAGACCCGGGCGGACAGGTGAACAGAACCACAGGTACCGACAGACGAACGGACGGAAGGACACTTACCCCCCGGTCCTCCTCGGAGAGGAAATCGGGTCCGTCGTCCAGCCCTTCCTGCTGCAGAGACACAAACACAGACAGGCCCATCAGAACCGACACCGGAACCTCAGCAGAACACACCGAACAGGACGTCACGAGGCGCCCGCTCACCGAACCGAACTTATTCTAAATAAACAACACAAACAGAGAGGAAGAGGAGCAGAGAAACCCACCATCATGGCTGCGAGCCGCTGGGGACAGGAAGTGGAGCGGGTTGCCASATCCGGCGACAAAAACACGAAGAAAACCGAGGCGGAACTTTTTATTTGATCCAGTAATGAAGAATATAAACTATGGAGAGCCGTCTCATTCAAAAGGAAATAAATA